TTTGTGTCAAGTTGAGAAAGACTCACCAGCATGGGAAGATTTTAAAATTGCAATGAAAACAACAATTCTTGATTTCTTTCAGTTACTGTATGCACTACAAGAACTAGTTCAGAGTAGCTTCTGGCTCCAGAGATGGATCATAGTAGGCCAGAATTTTGTAAACTTGGATTTTAACAGTTGCTATGGAAAGGGTACCACATGAAAATTAATTTGGAGCAGAAAATGAAATGGGTGGTTTCAGTTTGATTCCAGATTTTGAGACGTTACATAAGGCCTCAAAACTCTTTGCATAATTGTGATATGAACCTATCTTATTTGAACATATTTAATAAATGGAACTGTTATATATTCTTTTAGACTGTCATTAAAAATTGCTGAGATTCTAAAGACATTGTAGCCTAAGTTTGAAAAGTCTGTCATAATGACTCAACAGTAAAACAGTAATACAAAGTGTGGTGGTATTTTGTTCCCCAATATATTGTGCACCCTAAGAAACTTACCTGGGTTCAGAGACAGAACAGCCACTAGATACAAAGGCTACAAAATGGTGGCACTCACACCTCTAATCCTAGCACTCCAGAGGTAGAAATCCCTGGATCTCTGTGAGTTCAAGGCCACATTGGAAAGAGCCAGGCATGGTGATGCAGGCCTTTAATCCCAGAAAGCAAGCCTTTAATTCAAGGGAGTGGTGGTAGAAAGCAGAAAGGTATATAAGGCGTGAGGACCAGAAACTAGAAACATTTATCTGGTTAAGCATTTGGCTGGTTAAGCTTTTAGGTTTTGAGCAGCACAGTTCAGCTGAGACTCATTCTGGATGAGGACTCAGAGGCCTCCAGTCTGAGAAAACAAATCAGCTGAGAAGTGGCCAGGTGAGGTTAGCTGTGGCTTGTTCTGCTTCTCTGACCTTCCAGCATTCATCCCAATAACTGGCCTCAGGTTTGATTTTATTAATAAGAACTTTTAAGACTCCTGCTACAACAAACAAAAGGAATAAAACACATATTTCAAGACAGGGCAGGTGAATATAAAAGGATGGAAAACACCATGTCAAAACAAACCAATTTAAAGCTTGTTAAATGGCATTATGATACTATTGTCTTTTAATAAATATGTGTTTCTACTTAAAATTATTGATACAGGGTAGGAAAGATAGCAGTTAAAGTACTTGTACAAGGATGAGAACTCATGTTCAGATCCCCAGAAACTCATGTTGATGCTGGTTGAGTGTGGCAGCCTCTGAAGGTATACAAAGGGGATCACCAGAGTAATTGGCCAGCAAGACTAGCCAAATCAGCAAGGTCTGTGTTTCACTGAAAGACACTGCTTCAATGAGAAAATTGGAAGAGTTGATAGAGGAATGATTTTCAGCATCTTCTCAGGCTTCCTTGCATGTGTGTGCACGTGCGCGCGCGCGCGCGCGTGCGCGCGCGCACACACACGTATATGATCATGCAACCACACAATGCAAAATCATGAATATTTGTATTCAGATCAAATACAGACACATTACACACACACACACACAACATCAAATTAGAGATATTTTATTATGATAAAGGTTAGTCTCTCATGAAATATGTTTAAATTTGCATGTTCTAATCATACAGTATAAAAAGGTAGACAAAATGAAAAAAAATCAACAAGTATATAATCAAATAGAATATTTGAACATGACTTTTTAGCATCTAACAGAACAAGCAGACCCACCAAAATGAGGAAATATATAAAATAATTTTAAACTAGCATACATACCAAAGCTGGCCATATGCAAAATAAGATGCAATCAGTTTAAAAAATAGCTAGAAGTACATTGCTCAAATTTTTTGTATGCCTTAATCCACCCCTTGTACTTGAGTTAATTAACTGAGAGTCTGAGAAGGAAAAGAAGTCATAACAAAAATGTAATATTTCGGCCGGGCGGTGGTGGCGCACGCCTTTAATCCCAGCACTCGGGAGGCAGAGGCAGGCGGATCTCTGTGAGTTCGAGGCCAGCCTGGGCTACCAAGTGAGTTCCAGGAAAGGCGCAAAGCTACACAGAGAAACCCTGTCTCGAAAAACCAAAAAAAAAAAAAAAAAAAAAAAAAATGTAATATTTCTGAAGTTAAATTAAGGTGATTTTTTTTCCAGCAGATAATTATTGATTACTTATTATTTGACCCTAACTGGTAATTAAGTTAATTCTGCTAAGCCTTATGGGAAGATAACTGAATCTAGAAGTGAAATAAAAACATGTATCAGAAAATACATTCACAAAATGAAATACAGTTTCAGTTTTTGAATAAATAATGAATAAATCTGAAAATTGTTCTTAAAGTAGAGACTTTAATCATACATGCTAAGTAAAGTTATTTTAAAACCTTATAAAAATAAGCATTAAAGAAATCATTCCTTTTATTACTATTATTATTTTCCTTCTTTGATCACATCTATGAAGTATATTGGAGAGAAAGAAAAGGTGCACTAGAAATTCTTCCGTTAAAAGTAATGTTGCTATGGTCTCATTTTCCAGGCCAGTGCACAGACCCACCATGGTTTTCATTTGCCAGCCGTCTAAATAAAACTGATGAATCCAGTTTTCCCATTGGAACATCTTTGATGTATGAATGCCGCCCAGGATATTTCAAGAGGCAGTTCTCCATCATCTGCCAACAAAACTCAGACTGGACAAGTGCTGAAGATATATGTATACGTGAGTAACTGCAGAGGAAGCTGACAAACCGTAGATACTTTGTGACAAATAGTAGGGTCTGCTTCAGTTTGTCTGGATTTTAAAATTATGACACATGCCATTAATAATGTTATCTAAGGTGTATGGTACATTGGATCATTCTTGTAGGTCATATCTTTTTACTCTGTGCTTCTGTCTTCTCAATTGTTAATAAATTTAATAATAATGACCATCACAGGGCATGATTGAGGGAAAATATCCTCAGGATATTTCACTTAGTGTGTCCAACTTTGAACAGGTGTCACTAAGTAATTAGTGATTCTGAAGCAAAGAAAAGTGTATTTAAAACTAAGAGATTAAAAAAATCCTAGACTCTGAGGTCTGTGAATTGGAACACTCAGAGGAATGCTTTGGGAATAAATGAAGTAAACATGTTTTGGGGAGTCATCATGTGAAAATAGGAAGGAACTTGGATAGGAGTTCTTTTGGAAAGTAGGGTCTGATTAAGTTTCCTCAAAGTGGCAAAAATCTGTGAAATATTACAATTATGTATGCTCTCTAGAGTAAGTTACAGTCAGGTTAGAACCTCATAAACTAAGGAAAGTTTAGTTTACTTTACTTGGTTCCAAAATTCTGTTTCTATCTCACAGGTAAACCATGTGAAACTCCTAAAGATCCTGAGAATGGCATAGTACATGTACACACAGACATTCGGTTTGGATCCAGTATTAATTATACTTGTAATCCAGGGTGAGTTGACAACAACATCTCTTCATTCAAGACTTCTGGAACAGTAGTACTACTTTCTCAGCAGGTCTCAGGAAAGACATCTAATCTGTTACTTCCTAATTTGGTTTTTGGTTGTGTTTTGATTTGTTTTGTGCTAGAGGTTGTACTCAAGTCTTTAAACATGCTAGGTAAGTGCTCTACAATGAGTCCACACCATCAGAATGTTGCCTAGCCTTACAAGGCTTAAGTGTAAGTGCTTAATTCTTGATTGAAATGTACAAAAATATTACATGACTAGGTGGAAAAGATATGTTATCCCTGATGAATAATCAAGACAACACATGTTAGCAGCTTTCCATTATTATAACAAAATAATTGAGCTAATTAAAAGGAAGAATGGTATGTTTTACTTCATAGTTAAAGAAATCTCAGTTCATGTTCACTTGACTCTCTTGCGTTGGTCTATGGTGGCATGGTCCATTACAGCAGGAACATGGAAAACATGTAAACCATTCACCTCATGGTTGACATGAAGAAAAGAAAGGAAAAAGAGGATAAGATCTCAGTACCCTCTCCAAAGGCATACAGCTGGTGAGCTAACTTTGTCCCTTAAGGCCCACCTCTTAAAGATTCCACCACATCCCAATAAGATTTTAGCCTGGCAGACTAAGCCTTTTATCTAGGAGCCTTATGGGGATGTTCCTAACTATGGCAACATAAATAGAAAGTGAGGCACCCACTGGGTGAGATGGTACAGTCTAACCACACAGACTTCTGAAATCCAGCATGAATGTTGCTAGGAGAGAAGCCTAGGGAGCTCTGAGTAAGAACAGGTCTTAAATTCACAGCTTTTATTAGTTTGCTAAGGTTGCTAAATGACTACCAGTGTGTTTTTAAATGAGAGAAATTGTTGGAGTTCGTTCTGAGTCTGGAAGTCCAAAATAAGGTGTTGGCAGGATGCTGCTCCCTCTGATGTCTTTAGGGGAGGGAACTTCCTTACCTCTTCCAGCTTCTGGAAGCTCTAGGCCTTCCTATGTTTGTAGAGCACAACTCTAATTTCTGTCTATCTATATCACTGCTTATTCTCTGTGTCTGTGTTTATTTGTTGTTCTGTGTGTATTTATATTCAATGTTCTCTCTTTTTTTATAGTGATGCCAGTTATTTGGATTAAGATCCATTCTAAAGACCCTAAATTTAACTTAATTATATTTGCAAAGGTCCTGTTTGCAAATACTGTCAAATTGACAGGAATACGAGTTTACAGGATCAGAATATCACTTAGGGAACACAATTTAACCACAGAAATCACTCTTTGAACATGTCTGGCATGAAGTCCTACCAGGTATGGTGTTGCTGATGTTAGCACTCCTCATTATTCAACACAGAGTAAGAGTTTTGCCTTAACCTTATTCTGAATGTTAAATCTGTGTTTTTAATAAGTGTCAAATAAAAATGATAATTAGGAATTCAAAAATTTTAAAACATATGCTTTTCAAAGAACATTTTTGAGATAACACAAATAGAAAAAAATATTTCTGAAGCATAGAATTTATAAAGATTTATCTGTGAGAAATCTTTGTTCTAAATTTCTGTTCTTAATAAGAGTCAAATAAAAATGATATTTAGGGATTCAAAAATTTTAAAACATATGCTTTTCAAAGAACACTTTTGAGACAACACATATAGAAAAAAATATTTCTAAAGCATAGAATTTATAAAGATTTTTACATAATATATGAGTTCTTTTGTTGCTGGAGGGTTTCTCTCCAGGTTCCACCAAGCCCTGCAGTCCCACAATCCACATATAAAATAATCACTCAGACACTTATATTACTTATAAACTGTATGGCCGTGGCAGGCTTATTGCTAACTGTTCTTATATCTTAAATTAACCCATTTCTGTTAATCTATACCTTGCCATGTTGTTTGTGGCTTACCGGCGTCTTTACATGCTGCTTGTCCTGGCTGTGGCTTGCAGTGTCTCCCCCTCCTTCTTCCTGTTCCCTCAATTCTCCTCTCTCTTTGTCCCGCCTATACTTCCTGCCTAGTCACTGGCCAGTATTTTATTTATATAGAGCGATATCCTCAGCACTTCCCCTTTTCTTCTTTTTTTAAAAAGGAAGGTTTTAACTTTAACATGGTAAAATTACATATCACAAAACAATTATCGAGCAAGAATTACAGTTACAATATTAAAGAAGATGTCCTATCTATTTTATATTTGTGAATTTAAGGTTTTATATCTAACTTATCTTTTATCATAACTGAGGAAATTGCAACTATCTAGTCTTCAACCACATCATAGACCTCAGAAGGATATAATATTACCTGAGAAATGGGAGAAGGATGTAAGCAACTTTCGGGAGTCTTACAGGGTAGACAGAGACAGCTGACAGCCTGGACAGTCATCTAATGTTCCTTTGTAAAGTTGGGGCATCTGTCTTTAGCTCACAGGCCTAGAGTCTCTCTGTCATTTTTTTCAGTGTCCTGTAGAATGTCTGGCAGTTTTCTCTGTGAAGCAGGAACCTGAAGGACCATCTTGTCAAGCAAGCAAGTTTAGTGGTCATCCTTCCATGGGTCTTGCATGTCCAGTTGATCAAACAGTCCAGGCAAGAACAGTTTCTTGCCCAAATGGCTATCTTTGCCAAGGTGAAGATAAACTCCATATGGAGTGTCTTTGATGCCCATCCTCCTCTCC